CTCTCTCTCTCTCTCTCTCTCTCCCTCCCCCATTATGTGACTCTGTCTCCTCTTTGGTCTTCTCTGCCCTTTTCTCTCGCCCTCTACTCCCTGACTCACGTGCTTCTTCAGGGCCAAAGGGAGAACTGCAGTATACACATACACACACACACAAACACACACACACACACACACACACGCTCCGAGCCAACGCATAAATATGAGCCCAAGGTCACGGCAGCAGAGCTCACACTGGGAGATGCATAATCAGACTCCTGTGACGCCTCCTTCCTCCACCTGATAGCGCCGCTCGCTCCAGTCCTGACTAATAAGACGCTGATTGCTTTAGCTAGCTGTTAAACGTTAGCCCTGGGTGGTCGGGCAGCTGTAATCTGCCGCTGCATCCATCATGTCCGCACGCCTGCACTTCATTCTTAAAACTCCAGGGGAAAAGTTAGAACATTCGACCAAAGACGCAACAGAACAGAGAGGGTTCTGGGGGGTTTTCTCCACTGAGCCACGCCACCCCTCCCCCCCCTCTCTCTCTGGACCTCCCTCACCTCCCTCCAGGCCGTCACAGTCTGTAAGGTCAGCTCTAAAAGCACTTGTGATCTCTCACTCTCTCTCTTCTCTCCCCCCTTTCTAACTGTCTCACACGTTTCCTCCTCTCAGTCTGTTGTAGGACACTGACCTTTTTCTCACTTTCAACCTCTCTCTCCCCCCTCCCTCTCCCTCTCCCTCCCTCTCTCTCTCTCACCCTTTTTCATCCACTCTGCATATTCACACAGCACATTAAAGCCTCAGCCACTGTGGGCCGGTGTGATGTTCTGGACAGTTCTACCCAGCTACAGCCTTGTTAGCTCCTGCCTCCCTCCCTCTCTCCCTCCCTCCCTCTCTCCCTCTCTCCCCCGCTCCTTCTCTCCTTCTAATTGCCGTCTCACCCCTGCTGAGCTCAGACCCAGAGGCTAAATGATTTCTACGGGGAGTGTTAGAGCAGCAGCACACTAAAACACACAGCTGTACGTAAGGATATGTTGTCCTCCGTCATTACTGCTGATGAGTGTGTGGAGGCAGAAGGTGCAGTTCACCCTGCCCACCTGTGGCTCCACTATTTCACAGCTCTATGTCCTTACATTTACGTCAGTTCATTAAAATCCTTTTTTTTTTTAAAGGTGTGAATCTCAGCTGTAGCTGCAGGTCACTGTTTCCTGATGTTCATTAGAACTGAAGCAGAAAACTGACTCTGCAGGTCATTTAGAACTGATCTGAACTGAACTGAACTGATCTGAACAGAACTGATCTGAACTGAACAGAACTGAACTGAACTGATCTGATCTGAACTGAACTGAACTGAACTGATCTGAACAGAACTGATCTGAACTGAACAGAACTGAACTGAACTGATCTGATCTGAACTGAACTGAACTGAACTAAACTGAACTGAGCTGAACTGAACTGATCTGAACTGAACTGAACTGAACTGATCTGAACAGAACTGATCTGAACTGAACAGAACTGAACTGAACTGATCTGATCTGAACTGAACTGAACTGAACTGATCTGAACTGAACTGAACTGATCTGAACTGATCTGAACTGAACTGAACTGAACTGAAGAACCCAGGGTTTGATAAAACACTGTGGTTGACTGTCTGTCCTGACGACACTGTTCTGGTTCAATTCCCTCGTCTCTTTACGTGTGAATGGTTGTTTGTGTCCAGTGGACGCTGCTGCTCCTTTGATCTAAAAAAGCCTCAGGTGCAGAGTGTGTTCCAATTTTTAATTTTTTTTAAATTGACTTTCCAGTAAAAAAAACATAAACACAGAACAGATCCAGACCTTCAGACAAACGGGAGCAAAAACATCCTCAAAATCTAAGAGTAAAAGCTCAAAGGACTAAAGGCAGAACACCGGCTCAGGCCGCTCTCTTCAGACCCTGACCTGGTCTTTGTCTGGATCTGCTGCTGCTAACACACACACACACACACACACACACACGTACACAGATGAACGGCTCTAAACGTCCAGATCAGTACCACGGTCAGCTCCTCGCGGTCTCAGACCCGGGGTGTGAAATGTTAATGACGGTGACTTTGAAGTACAAGTCGGAGAACTTAATCACATTAAGTCATTTCATGCAAGGTTTCAAACGCAATATATGAAAGAGAATAATCAAAATCAGTGAAGCAGATGATGAAACGCCCTCACTTCCTGTGCCGTTACTGTGGTCAGAGTGAACACACTTCACTTCCCCTCGGAGCGTCGCCGCCGTAATATCTGCTTAGATCACACTTTTAAAACCTCACAAGCCTCGTTTTTCTTCAGCGCAGCCGCGGGAAACTTTTTACAACTGTTTTTACAGTTGGGCCTTGGTGTGTGAAGAGCTGCGGTGACGTTGACCGTGGAGGGTGAGTACTTCATTACAGACAACTACACACACTGTATATACTGTGCATACACAAGTACACAGAAACATGAATGTGGTGCTAAAGGTTCAAGGCTGAACTGGTCGTTTATGACAACAGGAAGAAGAGAAGTCATTGTAGCGACAGTTAGTGTTGGTAAAATGAGCCACGTGTTTTCACTCTGAACATTATGAAGTCCATGAAACACTTCTGTTATATTACAGTGATGTGAATACACTATTCAAAAGGACTTCATTTTGCAGACAGAGTCTGATGAGTAAATAAATGGATAACACACAAAAACCTTTGGGTTCAACAGAAATAATACAAACGTTTGAAGCACGTAGCCTGAAGCTTAGCCTGGAGCTAACGTGATGTTAGCAGAAACACCGGTCCATCACCAACACTTCACCAGTCACACTAATATTCACACCAACGGTCTGAGACTGAAGCAGTGACAGACAAGAGCACCACCCACTGGTAATGACTCAGCAGACGTACGTGAGTCCAGTCGTCCAAACTAAATTCCATCTGAACAGCAGACGGAAAAAATTAGAATCTACCAAAGAAGAAAACCAAAGGATCTGGAACAGTTGACGATGACTCAGTTCTGGTTTTGAATTTGTCAAATAGGTCAAAGGTCACATCAAACCGCCCCCCCCAGAATATTCCTAAAGTGGA